TGTGTGTGTGTGTGTGTGTGTGTGTGTGTGTGTGTGTGTATATATATATTAGTATACATAAATAGGTTTTATATATGTATACTATAAATATATAAATTAAATGCATTATAATAATTATTATTTAGCAATTAAGTGTATAATTTATCTATTAAACATATCCAGTGTTAATTTAGAATTTAAATATTATTGTAGTATTTACTAATATTTTGAATTAGATTTATTTCTTATATTTTCCGTTTTGGATTAAAATTTTAGTTAAGGTTTTGTAATTTTGTTATGTGCTGTTGTCATTTTTATTCGTTTTTGCTTTTAAAAATATTTTTATTTAGATTTTTTATATTTCATTTCAGTTTTAGTAATTTTAGTACTTAAACTTATTTTGTTTCAGTTAGTTGCCAAATCAACATTTCTAGTTTTTACATTTAAGTTTCTCATCTAATATTTATGTTTTGTCAGTTCAGCTTTATTTCAAGTAAGCAAAATGTTTTTAAATATTTTTAGTTAAAAGTTTTAGTTAAGTATATACATCACAATATAAAAATAATATTAAATTATATAAATTATATTGTTTTTTTTCGTAACATTTCCTTTGCATTGAATATTCTGTTTAACTCAGAAATACATTTCATTATAAAAAAATAAAATATATGTATTATATAAAAATATATCTTGTACTAAAACCAGTTTTAAAGTTAAAAATGTGTGTATTTATTAGTTTTAGTTGACAATAACAAAACTGAATACATCACATTATAAAAATAAAATATAATGATCTATACAATGTATAAAAATATATGTATTTGTGTGTCTTGCACAAAGACCACAGCTTTAAAGTTTTTCTTCATAATCTGATGCATTTGAACAGGATATTTAATGTAACATGCATATAATTCTATTTATTATTATTATTATTATTCTGTTTCTCAGAAACGTAGATATACTCAACATTATGAAAGAGAAAAATAATATAAAGTAAATAAATCAAATCCTGAGGCATTAAATCAAGCCCTGCCCTACATCATTTGCCACTGAATATTCGATTTCACCCAAAACATTATTAGGTAATTTAAAGTAGATCTGAAAGTAGGATGTTAGCAGGATGTCACAGGGGTGCCTGCAGAAATCAAACAGAGCATGGCGTCAGCATCAGTGGGAGGTGGTCTTTAGCTATTGTCATCGGGGGTCATAAACTCTTGCACTGCACTGGAAGTTGCTAGGCAGTGCAGTAGCCCTTTAAATCAGTCATGAGAGGTAGCTCGTTTCTATATAGACAGTCATGCATCCTCTTTGGAGAGTGTTAGATAAATGGCTAGCCTGTCAGCGTCACATAGTTGGAGAATATAGTGGTGTTGCTATGGCCACAAGTAGGGGTGAGGGTAAAGTGTGCAGCAAATTAGATCTACTGAGGATTTTTGTGCTGTTTCTCCATAACAAAATTCACAAAAATGGTCCATCTGCATCAAAATCTTTGCCTCGAAGATTAAATTAAGCGAAGTCATCGGCACTGGAAAAGACGGCCGCATTCTCAAAGAAGACATCCTGAACTTCTCAGCCAGGCAGTCGGGGGCCATCTTACCCCCAGCGCCCTTCCAGGAGATTCGTCCTCCTCCTCCTGCGGCTGTAGCACCTTCAGCTCCAGCTGCAAAGCCCAAAGAGAAGATGAGTCCACCTAGTATACCCACTCCTGTGATCCCTAAACCTGTTTTCACAGGCAAAGACCACACTGAACCCATTAAAGGTTTGTTTGCTTGTGTGTTTTGATTTAGAAGTTGATTCAGTCGCCGAAATTTTCAACGAAGGCTTTCAGAAGGCGATGGGTAAAATTTTAATCACCAGTCATTTTTGGCTCTAAGGCAATAATCAAAATTTCAAACAAAATTTTAAAATGTTTTTTGTTTTAACCAAGACCTTCAGAAGACGATGGTTAAGACTAGAATCAAATGCATGCTTAGCCAATCCCATAATGCATCACGACAAAGTGAGTGTAATCAAAGCCGATATGAAGATTGTATGTAATTATTCACTCAGTGCAGAAAAATATTAACGAGAGTCGTTCGATCTAGGTAATTTTACACAATTTTTGTATTATGCATTTTAACGTTTGCTTAGCAACATGATAACGTTAAACTCAAAATCACTTAATCTATTGTGAACAGCGCAATTTACATTTTTCTTACAAAGGCGATGGTTAAAACTGTCAGCAGTAAACTGGCCATCACATGTATGCTTAGCCAATCCCATAATGCATTGCGACAAGTTAAGTGTATAAATTATAAAATGACAGACAAAAGCCAATATGACAACTTTACTTAATTATTCACTCAGTAAAGAAAAATATGAATAGGAGTAGTTCAATTTAGTTAATTGTACAAAATTTGTGTCTCGTGTATTTTAATGCATACTACAGTATTTTGCAGTTAGCTTAGCAATATGCTAACATTAAACTCGATTGAAATAAGTTGTGAACAAAATTTGCATGACCTGCAATTTTTGAAAAGATTTTCAAAAATATTTCAGAGGGCAATAGTTAAGACTATTTTAACAGTAATGTACACTTAGTAAATCACATAATACATTGCGATAAGATCAGTGTAAGAAAAATCCAAAATGGCCAATAGAGCCAAAATTACAATTTTACATTATTCGCTCGGTCCAAGAAAGATATTAAAATGAGTAGTTCAGTCTCGTTAATTTTACACAGTATTTATGTGTATTTTAAAGTACACATTTTTTACGCGTACTATAATTTTGCGCAGTTAGCTTATCAACAAGCTAACATTAAGTTGAAATCAAGTGTGAACAGCATGATTTGCTGAATTGTTACTGATTGTTTTTCAAACAAAGGCTTTCAGAAGGCGATGGTAAAGACCATGTCAGCAGCCCTGAAGATCCCTCACTTTGGTTACAAAGACGAAGTGGATCTGAGCCAGTTGGTCCGGTTGCGCTCAGAGCTGAAAGGCCTGGCTGAGTCACGAGGAGTGAAGCTCAGCTACATGCCGTTCTTCATCAAGGTATAAAAGGGATTTGTGGGGTGCAAAACTCCAATTATGCTTGGTTTTAATATAAGTATCTTCTTCACAAACAGGCAGCATCTCTTGGTCTCCTCCATTTTCCAATTTTCAACTCTTCTTTGGATGAAAACTGCACAAATATCACCTATAAGGTACCGTTTCCATCTAAATAAAGATACTTTGAATTCAGTCGAGCTAGATCATTGATTGCTCTTCCTCCTCCAGGCTGCTCATAACATCGGTCTGGCGATGGATACCAGTCAAGGACTTCTAGTTCCCAATGTGAAGAACGTACAGATGCTCAGTGTCTTTGAAATCGCAGTGGAGCTCAACCGCCTGCAGACGTTGGGAATGGCAGGACAGTTGGGGACCACCGACCTCACGGGAGGAACGTTCACGCTCTCAAACATTGGATCGGTAAGTTAAGAACTGCAGGATGACCTTTGCTTGCTTCTGTAATGTAGTGCTAACTGTGTAGCTACACAAGGAAATGACGTAACCTTAACGTTGCTGTTGTTGTCGACAGATTGGAGGAACCTACGCAAAGCCGGTCATATTACCGCCTGAGGTTGCTATTGGTGCTCTTGGAAAAATCCAGGTAAAATTTTGCAATAAAATTCCAATTTACATATAATTTGCACTATGTAGTTTGGCATAGATGTCGGAAAACATATTTTGGTTTGTTCCGATACTGGCATACCCATTTGCTGCATTCTTGCTATTTTCTATACTAGCATTGTAATATATTTTCATACTTTTTAGATGTTTGTGAATTGAGCTTCACCGTTGCATTCGTTTGAAATGGTTTTGTTAAAGATTTAAAATTTATTATACATTTTGTCTACGGCTCTTTTCCAAAACATAGGTAGAAAATGTTGCCTACATAGGGAACTTACTATGTAGGAAAAACAAGCGTGCTCCAATACGAAGGCTTTTAAAAAAGATTTTTGTTGTCGTATATGATGTACAGAATTTTGGCTAAGTTATGTTTTAACGCATACTACAGTATTCCTCCGTTAGCTTAGCAACATGCTAACGCTAAACTCAATTGGAATCAGTTGCGAACAGTGCAAGTTTTATGACCCACAGAGTTGCTGCCGATATATAACTTTCAAAATTCAGTTAGTATGCTGCCTACGTAGGCACCAAGGCAACACACTGGTTTTTAGAACGCAGCCCAATTTTTTAAGTGACAATCTTTTTTTGCGTTCTCCACAGGTGCTGCCCCGGTTCAACCACAAGGGCGAGGTAGTGAAAGCGCACATCATGAATGTGAGCTGGTCCGCCGACCACCGGATCATCGATGGAGCCACCATGTGTCGTTTCTCCAACCTGTGGAGATCGTACCTGGAAAACCCCGCTTCCATGGTCCTGGATCTGAAGTAGAAAGCACACTTCCTCCAAGCACATCTAGACGTATCTAGACTCTGTCTCCCGACACTAAAGATTTTTTGGTTACTGGGGCACTGAGCTATTTGAACCATTGGTTTCCATCATGACTGAAGAACATTTCCACAACGTCATAAAGCTAATAACTGCTGTTTTGTTGTTTTTCTTCTTAATTCTGTCCTCTTGTTGCCTTATCAGATGTTACATCTACCAGAACGTATTGTGAATTGTTGAATGTTAGAGAATATGAACCCAGTGTAGCAGTATGAAAACGTACCTGTGATGTTTTTGTATATGAACTGTCTACATACTGTAAAATCTCCAATGGCGTTGCACAAGGGTTTTTAAAATCAGCAATGAACAGTGATATTTGTTAGTGGATAACATTTAGAAATAGTCTAGGTTCATCTTATGAAAATGTCACCAATTCAGTTAGTATGCTGCCTACGTAGGCAGCAAGGCAACATACTGGTTTTTAGAACGCAGCCCAATTTTTTAAGTGACAATCTTTTTTTGCGTTCTCCACAGGTGCTGCCCGGTTCAACCACAAGGGCGAGGTAGTGAAAGCGCACATCATGAATGTGAGCTGGTCCGCCGACCACCGGATCATCGATGGAGCCACCATGTGTCGTTTCTCCAACCTGTGGAGATCGTACCTGGAAAACCCCGCTTCCATGGTCCTGGATCTGAAGTAGAAAGCACACTTCCTCCAAGCACATCTAGACGTATCTAGACTCTGTCTCCCGACACTAAAGATTTTTTGGTTACTGGGGCACTGAGCTATTTGAACCATTGGTTTCCATCATGACTGAAGAACATTTCCACAACGTCATAAAGCTAATAACTGCTGTTTTGTTGTTTTTCTTCTTAATTCTGTCCTCTTGTTGCCTTATCAGATGTTACATCTACCAGAACGTATTGTGAATTGTTGAATGTTAGAGAATATGAACCCAGTGTAGCAGTATGAAAACGTACCTGTGATGTTTTTGTATATGAACTGTCTACATACTGTAAAATCTCCAATGGCGTTGCACAAGGGTTTTTAAAATCAGCAATGAACAGTGATATTTGTTAGTGGATAACATTTAGAAATAGTCTAGGTTCATCTTATGAAAATGTCACCCCCAAAAAAAGCAAATAAAAAAAGAAATTATATTTGGTATAAAGAAATATTATTATTATTTTAAATATTGCTATTCCTAAAAAAAGAAAGATTTTCATGAAGCAAAATATAATTTTTTTTTTTTCAGTGCTGCTTTTCTTTCCACTCCAGTGTTTTTAAAGCAAAATGGAAATATATGTGATTCAAACTGGCTGTGGGGAATCTGTACGGATACTTCCTCTCATCTTCTCTGGTGTGATGATTCTTGTTGGAGCATAATGTTCTGCCACTCTTGAATAATGGGAGTTTCCTTGAGGGATTGTTGTGGGAGTGTGTGAATGACGAAGGAAAGCGTTTTAATAAATTGTACATTTGAGGAACCGTTTCTCAGCAGTAAGCAGTGTTACTATTCCATCTCAAAACACGGTTGAACTCCAGGAGCTGGAATGAGCACAGCTAGTAAATTTTATAAGATTTATGATCCTTAGACAAGTCGAACAGAGCTTAAGCAGGGGGTGGAGCTTGTGTCTCATTCTTCGCTTAGATTTTAAAGCCTGGTGCCTCTATCTCTTGAGCACAAACTAAAAGGGGTTTAGCTAAGCATCTATTACAGAAAGAACATGCAGGTAAGACGTTCTCATATGTCTTAAATAATAGCGTAACGTAACAGGATTAATTGTATTCTAGGTTCACTATAAAACTAAAACTGATCAAATAATTTGAAATGTAACTTTACACCATAAATGTATGGTTTAAAGTTTGGTGCAACAGAGTTAGAAAAACTTGATTTAAACTGGATAATGGATTGTAAACAATCAATATAAAATAACACATTGGCAAATTAAAAATATTGATTTAAATTAACAGAATATTTGCTAATTAAAATAAGATCTTGATATAACATTATTTCTCATTATTATTGTAAATTAACAGAATAATCTGACATCCAGTTTTTTAATAATAAAATTAAACTATGAAAACCTATTTAATCTGTAATATGCATGTTTGGGGTCAGTCAGATTTATTTATTTATTTTTAAATTAGCACATATATTCAGCAAGGATGCATAAAACGATGATGGTAAAGACGAACGATTTAGATTTCAAATAAATGTTCTTTTTTAGCTTTCTACTCAAAGGAAAAAAAAATGTATCACAGGTTCCACAAAAATATTAAGCAGCAACTGTTTTCAACTGATAAAAATAAATATTTCTTGAGCATCAAATCAGCATATTAGAATGATTTCTGAAGGATCATGTGACACTGAAGACTTGACCTTTTCATTGGATTAATGACAGTAACAATTATATTTATGTATCTAATTAAACAAGAAAGAGGAGAAACAGTGGAAGGGACCCCAAGAGAAAAGTAAAAGCACCATAAGGTGGAAAATGTCCAAGGAAGACCCTGAAAGAAAGGGCAGGACATCATCACAGGTCCCCATCCCAAGGAGATCTAGCTCAACCTGGACGATGAAGAAGGAACCGAGAGGCCAAAAGTTACCAGACAGAGACGAGAAGCACATCCACTACCAGACCATCCCAGAAAGACGCTTCTCCACTGACCGAGCTCATGAAATAATCAAACACATTGTTGATGAAAGACTGGAGACTGTCGAGTACAGCTGCTCATGCTCGGGCATCTCCAAAGAACTGTCTGACTGTATTAAGACGGCTGTAAAGAAGCTGCTGTATGATCGATATAAGCTGGTCTGTTACGTGGCCATCGGGCAGCTGAAGGATTCGGTGGTGAACTGCTCTAGTAGAGCCATCTGGAGTCCCACTTCAGACACATTCACGGACTATATCTATAAAAACAGATCTTTATTTGCTGTTTGCATTTTGTTTGCAGTGTATAAAGAGTAACCTAACTGGCCAACTGGAATTAAAGTACAATTTTATGTAAGGCGACATTATGCACAAGTAGGCTATTCATTTGTATAGTTATAGTAAATACTCAAGAATATGTGAAAATTTGATATATATAAAAAAAAAAAAAAGATTTTTCAAAGTTTTAAATAAAAATGTATTGGAGTATGTTTTACATGAAAATGCTATTTCAGTCTCTCTCTACTTCATAATTTCATGTTTAAATCAATGTTACTTGCTATTGCTTTGTAATTGTCAAATTTACAAGCAACTTCTGAGTGAAAATTGTTTGTACACCTTTTTTTTGTTGTTTTTCTTTTTCAGTTTATATCATTAAAACATTCTACTAAAGCAGCAGCCACGACATACAAATATTTATCTAACAGCAATGTTTTGAAACGGTCCTAAGCTTCATTGTTAATCAGGTTACTATTGCTCTATTCTTAAATGCACGTCTGGTGTGGTAAAGTATGCAAAAGTAGACAGCTGCTCTTGTGCCAACTTTAGCATGTGACCACACTATTCAGTGTTGTCTCGGGTTAAATATAGACATTGGCCGGAGTTACGCTTCAAGAGGGAAAACCTGTGACAAACACGGAGCGGATAATTACTCCAAAGCCGATTCTTTCAACAGATCACACTTACTAGAATTGTCAGAGGAATTGTACCATTGGTGCAGCATTGGTGACTATCTTCTCCATATTAAATGGGAGCTAACCTGGTAAAAGCGCTGGAAGGACAATATGACCCAATGAGAGTGGTAAGCACAAGCTAATTCAAACTTTCTCACAGTTCCTTTAATGTCAATCACAGCATATGATTTACATAGTACTAACTCAAATGTGCCCTATCATCTCAAACCAAAACAACATGCAGAGCATACATTTTCCTGGCCGGTAAAATGGCTTATCTGCTGCCCTAGCATACTGTGTGTGTGAGGTGATATTTGGGGCTCTGTATCATCATGACGGGGGTCACGGTGTGCTGTGGGACAGTGAACTCTATCAAGACTCTGTGGGAAACCAGGATAAAGAAAAGCACAGATGAACTGAAGAAGGAGAGAGAGCAGAGAGACAGGAAAGCAGTTGGTAGGTACGTCCATTACTGTCATGTATCCCATGGGAAGCATAATGACTTATTTTAAAGCAATGGTTCTCAACTGGTGGGTCGTGACCTAAAAAAAGCATTGCCGGTTACTAAGTGCGAACACTAATCTTAAAATCATGTATAGTTGGGATATGTTGAAAATACTTTTCAGCATTAAAGGTTAAGAGTCCACTCAAACTCTATGGTTCATTTGTTACTTGGTAGAAGCTCGTCAAATTTGCCAACATGTAAAGTTGTTTGACATGACTTAATCTCTTAAAAACCATGAACTAGATTATGCAAGTTAAAAGAAGATACAAACCATACTGCATCAAATGTGATTTTCAGGTCTGTTACTGTGTTGGGTTGCCACTTGATGTCCAATGTAAAATCTGGATCCTGAAGAACCAGTTGAGAACCACTTCATAGACTGTGCTTTTGTCTATCCTGAAACCTCCATTAACAGATTTAGTATAAGGAAAGTTTTTGAATAGTTCAAAATCTTTGGCGTAGGTTGACAGGTGCCTGGGAGGATCGCATCACTTTGGCCAAGCTAAAGGGAAAAGTTGTGACAGAGGAAGGACGTGTCATCCTGCGTATTGAAAAGGAGGAGTGGAAGGTAAAGCATTTTGTGCTTTGTGAGTTTGAGGTCAGTTTCAAATTAGAAGTCAATCCAATGCTCCAGAACCAGACACCCCCATTTGTTATTTTAGGTACATGAGCACCCTCAATATACCATTTTTCTGAGCCCACACTGGTGCAGAATATTATCCAACATTTCATAAAGTAAAGTGTACCTGCAAGGACTGAGGCAGAGGTGTCCAGTCCTGCTCCCAGAGGGCCAATGTCCTGCAGAGTTTAGCTCCAACACACTTACCTGCCAGTTTCTAGTCAATCTGAAGACCTTGATTAGCTGCTTCGGGTGTGTTTAATTAGGGTTGAAGCTAAACTCTGCAGGACACTGACCCTCCAGGAACAGGATTGAACACCCTTGGTCTATGATATGTGCTGCATCTCAATGTGCCTACT